TTTTGCCTCCCTGAGTAGCAAACTCACGTAGCAGTAGTCGGTAGTAACCGCAGTAGTAGGTAGTAGCCGGTAGTAAGCACCACTCTCCGGATACAGCAAAAAAAAATCGGATTTTTACGGGAAGCGGTCTGTCGTAGTCGGTACTTCTGCAGGTCAGACAGAAGCTCTGACACCCGGCTGCTCCCAGTTGAGCAGCAAAGCTGAAGGTGTAGAATTACCCGCCCAAAAAGCGGGATGGCATTGGGATAAATTCTTACTGAAATTGTTACCCAACAATAAAGGGGTTAAAGTTTTTGTGCAAGAGTTTCATGAAGGGTTTAGTCGGCAGTAGGTGATTTACGCACATCTAAAGAAACTGAAGTATCAAAGTATCAAATCCTTAAAGTATCAAAGAAAAAAAACCCCAAATTCCTTTCTTTTTTTTTTAAAGAATTTGTTTATTTATCGAACCTGGGTCATATTTAGATTCACGAGCAATTTTTAAATGTACATCTTAGAATTCAATTTGAAGTGTTTTACACAAAAATATTGGCACACAACAGTCGCAATAAGGTGTAACAGCCACCTTTCTGAAGAACTGCTGCAAGTGTTTGCCCAAGGTTGAAAAAACTTTACCTGGAACATGAAAACCTGTAACAAATTTTAAATTAATAGTACAAAACTGTTGTGTGTTACTTGTAGAGGCTCCCCCCTGGAAAAGACCCCGCCCCATCCCCAAAAATGATTACAACTAATATACATCAGTCACAACATAATCCTGGCTCAGCACCCACATCAGACGCTGCTTTAATTTTCGAAACCGACCAAGATACCGAGGAAAGTAACTTTATACAAAAACAAATCTACATGTGCCCGGAAAAGAAAACACACCAGTATTTAGCATTATGCTAATGATGATTAGATCGGGCAGAGACTGCCACTTAACTTAAATACCAGGGCTGCATAGCATCGCAATAAACCCCCAGAATCGTTAACCCTTTGGCATCAGGAATCCAGATTTCCTGAACGCTAATGCATTCTGCAACAGCGCCAACAGTCTGAGCTTTGGACCTGCAAGAACCAAAGGGTTAAGCTATTGTTTGCCAAGACACTGCACACCATTGGCTTTGATATAAAACCTGTGAAAGACTAAAAACCATACCATGAACATTCAGTAATGAGAGAAAATGGATTTCTGTATCAACTATTTCATTTAAAAGACCTTTGGGAATCAGTTGATATAATTAGGATAGTTATCGGAGACTTTCTTTTAAATAGCAACTAGGTATGAACGGTAGATTGGAAGTTGTCAGAATAAAGTTCCAATCACTTCTCCTTGGCAGTTTATTTAAGTGAAGAAGGGATTATTTGGATTTCGTAACAACTATTGCAGGGTTAAAGAGGTCAAAAACGCAAACAGTCATGTTAGGGCCTTGTACCGTTTCCCTAGAGAGAACTGCAAGTATTTATGAAAACAGGGGGGAAAAAAGTTAGAAAAGACATCGACATTGCTTGTTACTACAGTTGAATTACAGCATTTGCAGCTTGCTTGGACCTCGCTTAGCATACAGACTAGGCAGATTTAAGTGAAAAAAATTATGCCAATTAAGTGACACGATTTCAGCATAGCTTTTGCTACAGAAGATATATAAAAACAATTCATTTTTAACTAGGAAGGAACATAAGCAAATAAGTTTTACAGTTCAGTAAAGAGGGTTCAGAAACTAAATGACTTTTTTGTGACCAGGATGTTTGGTAGACAGTGAACTGAAATCCGGGACCGGAAAAGTACTCTTAAACAACCCTTCGGACTTCAAAAAACCTCTTCAGATAGTAGATTTGTCCCAGTGTCATGGCAACTAGTACAAGAGCTTCAAAGAACGACCAAAGAACCACTCTGCTGTTTGTGTTGTCATTAACTGTTGGGGGAAAAACAAAGAAGTAGTGAGCAACAAAGCATTTAAAACAAAATTAAACCACACTTTGTCACTGGAACTGAAGTACTGCACATCCACCAGTGGCATTTGTATCATGTCATTACAAGTGTCCCAGGATGACTCTGCAGTCTTAGAAACGAGATCTGAGCGGTGGCTTGAACTGTGCTGTGCCAGCAGGCGTTCTCACCCGCGCTCTGCACGAACACTGCGCCACCTTTCTCTGTTCTGCCCACCTTCAAAGAGGCCAGACAGAAGTTTGTAACTGCTCAACAGAAGCCACCTGCTTTTTCAAGTAACAGTTGCATATTACGGTCTCAAACTCAAATGGGGAATTTCTAATCTCCAAAGGTTCATCGTCTTTGGTTCTAAAAGCTCAGCATTTTCTTTGGTGACTAACGGTCTGATTTAAGTCATAAAACTGGAGACATTCATGGGTTCAAAAAGTATTTTCACATTAACAGTATTTGCCCTTTACTCTCACTGGGCTTCCCCTAAGGCACCACTAGGCATGCTCAGTCATACTTTAAAACTGTATTTCAGAAAGTGAGGATTGTGACTGCAGAGTTATCCGTATTCTCGACTTGGAAATAACAGTAGTTCTGCCCTATTTCAATGAAATATTGAAAAAAAACTTTGGCTCAATTATTAAGCCCCACTCCCTTCAAGGATGGAGTGACAGTTCAACCAAAGTCTATCCCTGGGAACCATATCATTACCAGTATCTTCACGAATATGCTATTCCAAGAACTACAGAACAATTAAGCAAAGATTATTTTGTATAAAATTGTCACATAAAAGGCGAGCCAATTTAAAGAACATTGCAAGCATCAACTACATTCTTTATTGTATGGGGAGGTCCTTCAGAATTGTTTTGGTTTTTTTTTTTTTTGTAACTTGGAATAGCTTTCATGGACTTGAATTTTAAATCACATTTTCGTAAGTTCATTTGAGAGGGTAGAAGGCATTTAAGTCAAAGACACATACTTGCTCTATGTATTCTTTCACGAACTTCCATGTACTCCTGTTCATGCTTTACAGCTGTCATGGCCACTGCTAACTCATTAATCATCTCTTCTAGCTTGTTCTGATGAGCTGCAGAATAATTTCAGAAGAATCAGAAAGTCTGTTATTGACTCAAAAAACGATCTGTTAGAATTTAGGAACAGTAATACTTCATTTCCCGTCGCAGAAGTAGTTCTGGAAAATGCAGTCTGTACAGCTGAAAACTTTCAATCTTTACAGCAAAGTCAAGTTTAGCTTTCACAGCGCCACTTTTCCAAACACGCCTCGACGGTATTTAACAAGCGAGAAAACATCTTTCTCCACATCTGACCAGAAGGCAGAAGACACACACTTTAGAGTCAGTACAGGCCACTTATTTCAAATACGGGCATACTCTGCTAGAAAAACAGAATGTAAGAACACGAGGTCAATACCACACACTAGTATCTATTCTGACAATATATTCCAAGCAAACTATCTCAACGTTACAGCTTTTCCTAGTTGTTAAGCTTGCAAAAACAGAACGACTGAGAACTGAGCTTAAGATCATGATGCTGGCAAAACGAGATCACTTTCTGAAGCAGCATACCACATCTTGCAATCTTCTGGTTTAGCTGAAGCACAGCGTTCAGCAGAAACAATGCCAAAGGGGCCTGGCAGGGGGCAGGAACCCGCTTCGGGTTCTGTATGTGGTGAAAGCAGAAGAGGAGGAAAATACCAAACCAGTAACAGAAAACCAGCTTGAGATAGTTCAGCAAGTGGAAGGATCTGAGATCTAAAATTTAGTGATTTGACTGTCAATCGCAGGATGTTTTAAATACATTCATGCTCAAAGAACTGTCCACTTACAAATTTGTAAGTTACGCAAGTAATTTTCAAAGCTTTCTAGCCCCAAGAGAAGTCCCAAGATACCATTCCACAGACACGCCCTGGGAAATCAGCTCTCACAAAACCCAACACGATTTCCACGGAAGGGACATACTTGACTTTGAAGCTACTTTATTATGTTTTTATTTATGAATTAAGCGTTTCAGATCATGATCTGAAAATAAAGCTATTCAAAATACGCATCTTACGGGGAACAGTCAAAAAGAGGACCAGAGGACTCACACAAGTCACAGTTAAAATCTAAATAGTTGTGTGAACAGCACTCACTTTGCTAATGTCATAAATCCCTTATGTTCATGGCCAACTGGTAATTGCAACAAGGGCAAAAGGTTACGAGTAAGAAAAGAAATTACAGCTGTGGGGATTAATCCCACTCAAAAAAATACACTAAAGAAAAAGTGTTTGCCTTAAAAAAATTTAAAGCTGTACTAACATTCTTTACAACAGGTATATTCAGACTCACTAAAAGATTTAACCGAATCTTAAAAAAAATCCCCAAAAGTTAGGAATTTGTTACTTTTCAAGTGATATCAAGCACTTAATGCACACAGTTATTTACTTGCTAGAATAGAAAACAAGAATTTATTGCCTTCCTGGCTACAGTTAGTGACTTCTAAATAAAACTTTGTTGTTACCCAAGACATTTGTCTATTTCTTTGACAGCAAATGACAAGTTTGAAGTTTTTCCCCTTGTAACATTACTGATAATTCCCAACCTAAAAGAAGCTTACAGCTTCCAAAAGCCCTTCATTATTCAACACCCACTTCAGCAATAGAAAGCGAACATCTTCTAAAATATCCGACGGTCTTGGATGTTCAGTGTTTTAGTTTAATTTCACCTAAAACTCCTGATTAAATCTTCTCTAAGCCGTTAACAACCACCTGAAGACAGACTGTCACGGACAGTTCAAGGACCTGATCCCAAGAGCTGCTAAGGTTATAAACCTCTGGATGAAAGCTTGCAGGTGCTCAGCATTGCTCAGAATCAGACCTTTTATGTAGTTTATTAAAAAGACATTCTCATGCTACAAACAAATGTTACAGAGAAAAAGCAAACGTTAGCTGTTAGTGAATAAACATATGCAAAGGACAAGATGCTACCGAGCTTTCAAAAAGCAGTACACATACCATCCCAGGTATCTCCACCACCTAGAGAAAAGTGTAAGAGATGAACACAAGTACAGGACAAAAGGCTACAGATAAAACAGTAATTTACACAGCTAGGAGAAAAATTCTATATTAGCACATTTATCAAAGAGCTCAACTAATGCATGTAGTAGTCTACATACTGCTGAGCAAACTAGAGATCAGAGAATGAAACTGATGAAAAGACTGAAGGATGGAAGCATTAGTTTCTGCAGATGGCCAGGTGATTGTCTTGTGATTTTGCACTAAATTGTGTAACGAGGTCTAAAAACATCCACATCCATTTTAGCCGTGAAAGGGGACAGCTAACCAGACAATCCGAAGACACAGGAATTCTGAGAATCCTAGTCAAGTTCAGAAAGCATGCACGTAGTGAGAAGCTCCCGAGCCGGAGCTAATTTATTTCCAGGAGTCTTCCTCACCTTCTGTCTCCATGTCTTGCCCCTTCGGAGCTTCCCCGATATCGATAGTGAACATCACTATCTTGGGCGTCATGGTGGACATTCTGTTGCTAAAGCAGAACTTGTAAGTTCCATCCATGTGGGCAGCAAATGTGTATTTTCCGCTGGACTCTCGATCACCTTTGTAAATTCCTTTGTTATCAGGCCCTGTAATCTGGATGGAGAGAACAAAACATCATACGTTTTATTTTGACTACAGTGTTTTTACACACACCATTACAGCATTGCATGCATATTTTGAAGTCACCCAGTCAGAACTACCAGTACCATCTGTAATCTGACTGGTTCAGCATTCTTCCTACTTTCCCTCCCGCAACTCAAAAGCGGTGATGCATTTTCCTGCACAGAAATCTTTAACAAAAAAAAAAAAAATCCCAAACTTCTTCGTAAAGAAAGTCAGATAAAAGCTTCTCTTTCTGGCCAAAGTTACTGGCCTTCTGCAGTCAAGATGAGAAGCATTCAAGAACAAGTAATTGGCTGTCAGCCAAATTAACAACTGCAGGGGAAACCTTATCTCTGATGTCTGAAGGAGAATGAAAAGGAAAAAGAAGACACTCTCCCATATGTCAACACTACTTTAGACACACGGCTGTGCGTTGCTGCAGCTACTGTTTCAAACGGACTAATGAGTCGCTTCCATCCCCCCGGGTCACTGAACTCAGCTGCTGAGCTTCCACTAGAGACACCTGGATGGGATGTCATCGCTTTCTGACTGTCCTGTGCTACAGCGATGTGCCATTTTCAACTATTAAATTCATTTTCAGCAACAACTCTCTCGTGCTAAAGTTATCACGAGCAAACAACTGTCTGCTCTTTCCCAAGACGCAAGGAATTCTTATTTACTACTCTCCTACTGACCGGATGTCTCATTGGAGAGAAGGACTTACCGACAGCTTTCCAGAGGGCAATCAGCCTGACTAAAGCCAACATCTTTTGGTTCCTGGGGAGACACGCCGCTCCCAAAACGAGCAACACGTTTTTGGAAGGAACAATCCCGCTCGTTCTTCCCGCCCAACGCTTCGTTGGGACAAGACCGCACCGAGCAGAATAACGAAGCGCGTCTCAAGAGAACGGCTCTGACAGCACGGGGACCGCCTCCTGCAGCGCCACAGGCACCGAGATCGCCGGGGCCACCGGGCAGAGCTGCCCGGAGCCCCCGCAACGAGGCGGGACCGCCCCGACCTCCAC